GAGGTCCCCTCAAGCAGACTGGAAAGAACCCCCCCATTCAAAATCCTGGCTACGGGCATGGTATATGTGATGTCCCCACTGAATCAAAACCATTTAAGTCAAAATTTTGAAATGTAGGAACCTTGTTTTTTGGCCCATCTTGTTTTTTTTCACCCGCTCACATTAGATTTGGAGTCTGCAGAGGATGCCATCCATAAGAGTTACTTGCTGTGCCCTTATGGAATGTACATTAATATATCTCTCTGCTCTATAGACTGCGCTCTGCTTTAACAAAGTCATCCTTGGGGATTTTCCGAGCAGGAATTTGCTCCGAGGTAAGTTCTTGGACAATGTAGTTACCAAGAAGTATGGAGCAAATACATCATGATTTTATCATCTGAAATACATTCAATATTTCACACTTTCATTCCTTCTTCCTTCTTTCCTTCTCTCATTCTTTCCTTTTTATTTTCTTTTTTTCCTTCCTTTCTGCTCTGCATTTGCTAAGCAAGCTTGTCTCTATTTCATTGTTATTAGTCATGGCAAAAAAATTCAAACAAGCAATGTTGGACAGTGAATGGAAAAAAATCAAGGTTCCAACCAATCAATATTAATTAAAGATGCCAGTTATATATATAAATATCTCAAGATATATAAAAAGGCGACAAAAAGGCAATAAGTAATAAAATGCATTGCTGTTCCTTTAGGTTTCACATTTGAAATGAAATTGAAAGAAAACATGCAAAATTTGCAGGTAGCAAAATGCAGAAAATGATTGAAGAAATGAGTTATTGATTGATTGATTGATCGGTTGATTGATTGAGAGATTGATTGATTGAACAAATGAAGGAAAGAAGGAACAAAGGAAGGAAGGATCGGATTAAAGAACAAAGAAAGTCTTGAGTCCTACCTGAGCTACATGGGTCGTTAGCGCGACCTCCCTCCTCCTCGTCCCCCTCTTCCTCCCACTCCGAGAAGAGCGACGCGTGTCCGCGGAGGAGGAGCAGCCCCAGCCCGAGCGCCAGCAAGGCCCGGCCCGCTGCCTCCCTACCCCTCATACCGCTCCTACCCGCCGGCGGTCCGCTGTCTCATCCCCGCGGCGCCCGCCGCATGGCACACGGGAGGGACGGGCACGCGCTGCCGGGCGGGGGGACTGGGTGAGTACGGTGTTCTCGAGGTGGGACAACTTTTTCTACGGAGCTCGACCCACTCAGTTCTCGTCAACAAACTGGGGTAACAACTGAAGAGCCGCCGGTGTGCCTTTCTACCTCACGTGGTAGGCGCTCGCTCTAGCGGGGACCGCTCAGAAATGGTCTGGGTAGAGCTGAGGGTGATGATAAAGACGCCACAGCTTTTAAGGAAGACAAATGCTTCAAGGAAACGTCTTGTCTTGGGTTAGTCCTGAGCGCAAACACACCCCAGTCTCATCGCTAGATCTTGGAACTCTCCAAAACCTGCATGATCCTGTTTTATAAATCAATACATGGACGAGTCCAACTTTATGGGGGGATTCCATTTTAGCAAGATTCTTGATGTCACATATTTTGTTGGCACATGATTTTTTAATCTTTTCAGTAGAGTATTTTTTTGTTGTATTTTATTAACTTTTCCTCGTGGAATCGGTGACATATCACCAAATTAGCTTTGTCCATAAATAGACGTAGACGAATTAGACATTATTAACATGCAGTACACAGTGGACTATTCCAAACTTTCTATTTCTTCCATTTCATAGCTAACCACGTCATAAAATACAATTTCGTTTCAATGTGTTTTTAAAGGTTGTTTATTACAACATGTTAAAAAACTTTACATTGCCGACATTATGGTGTAAGATGCATATATGGTTAATTTTTCTATTTTACGACGTAAAGTTACACGAGGACACATTTTGCGGCACACGTGCACTTTACTTCCGGGTTTGGCAAGGTTGTTTCACGATCACATGTTTTCTCGTTGTTTGGAGGCTCCCTGGCTGCTATAACGATGTCTTTGCGACTGTCAATCATGTTTTTGGTGTTCCTTATAGTTTTGAACCATCTTAGGACTGGGATAAAAGCCGACAAGCTTCAGTATATGCCGGAGAAGCCCCCCTCCCCCTCGCTATGTTGTCATGATCAACTGGATACGCCCACCACGTATATAGCAGCCGTATACGAGCATGATACGTACCTTCTACAGGACCCTCACCGTGTACTGGACAGGAACAGCGCCTTGGAACTCATGAAGAAAAATCTCAAGGTGTTTGAGGATCAAGCAAGACTCGCTTCCAAACAGGTAAAGACGGACATATGACATGTGACTGAAGAAAGTGTTGTTTTGTAAATTAACTCTGAAGTGAAAGTGAATTGGATACTACGAAGAAGCTCCTTAATTTGAGATACATGTATATTGGATGTCGTTTATACCAAGGTTCACCCACACATACATGTATTTTCATTTGTCCTATACGTACAAAACTTACTGGTTACTAGTATAGGCTTGTAACAATTTTATTTGCTTGCAGTAGTGACCTACAGGACATTCACCTTTGTCCAACCAATGAAATGCTACTAAAAAAATGGTCTGATATATACTGTAATTCACTTTATGCTCACGGTAGCAAAAGTTCATGGTCTGAGAAAAATAGACATGTTCACAGAACTATATATTCACGGTGGCGACAGGTGCAGAAAAAAGAAAGTCCAGGAATTATTTGTTAACTGTAATGATAAGTTCACGGTACAGAAGTGACAGTGAAAACAGTGAACATAACAGTACAGTGAAAAAAACATGAATTACAGATTAATAGCAGAAATGTTGTGAAAGTGTGAATTTATGGTGCTAAACAATGACAACTACATATATCCTGTTGTTTTGTTCTGAACTTTTATACAGGGAGCACAGATCATTGTATTTCCAGAGGACGGCATCTATGGCATGGGTTATACCCGTCAATCTATCTTCCCATTCCTGGAGGAAATTCCGGACCCTTCGCTGGAATCTTGGAATCCGTGCGTCAACCCTGACCAGCATTCCGAGACAGAAGTTCTGCGTATCCTTAGCTGTATCGCACGGAATAACAGCATTGTTGTTGTCGCAAACATGGGTGACAAACAAAACTGTTCCAGAAAAGAAGACCCAAATTGTCCGAACGACAGTCGCTACCAGTTCAACACCGATGTTGCGTTTGACAACGACGGACAACTTCTCGCCAAATATCACAAATATAATCTCTTCTATGAAAATCAGTTTGATGCCCCACCTAAGTGTGAACACGTGAAATTCACGGTGTTTTCTGTGACTTTCGGCATGTTCACTTGTTTCGATATTCTGTTTAAAGATCCTTCAGTGGAAGTTGTTGAGAAGTTGGGGGTTAAGAATGTGGTTTTTCCAACAGCTTGGGGAAATGCATTGCCTCTAAGGCATGCAATTCAGTACCACCAGGCATGGGCTATGGGAGAAAATGTCAATCTTCTATCAGCCAATCAGCATCATCCTTTCTTCAGCATGACAGGCAGTGGGATTTACTCTGGCCAATCAGGAGCCTTGGTTTACTACCATGATTCTGATTGGTCGAGTGGAGGTAAACTGCTTATTGCGAGAGTGCCTACGGATCCTGCTTGTAATAATGATGAAAACTTTTGTAACAAAATCACAGAAAATGACAAGAAAGTTGATTATCCTGAACAGAATTACTATGACAATGCTATTTCTAAGCTTTGGGGTGAGAACAAACCATCTCGATCTGCAAATCTCATTGGGCAGACATTCCAGTCAAAGTTGGAAGAAGACATTTATACTTTCTCACCCCTCAAAAATGGAACAGGCCAGATAGAGGTCTGTGATAATGCACTGTGCTGCCAGTTGGATTATTCCATGTCACTGAAGGAGGGGGAGCTGTATGCATTTGGTGCCTTTGATGGACTCCATACATTCCAAGGGCAGTACTATTTGCAGGTAGGTGCATGGTATGGTATCTAATGATGTAGCACAAGTGCCTCCTTGTGTTCAGTACATGAACTGCAGTTGGTGCCTTTGCAATTGCAAATTGCTGGATTATGTCATCTGAGAAAAGAAGACAGGTGACCATAATAATAATAAAATAATAAATCATACTTCTTGAAAGACTCATCTGTTGCAAAATGCCAGGTCTTTATAGTCCAAATTATTTATTTCTTAAAGTTTTTAAATGGCAAAGACTTTTCAATGTCAAAAAGTGTGAGCTGCTTTGTTAGTATGAGCTGTAAAGGGCTACAAACATTTGTCCAAAGTGCAATATTTTGTCCAAAATTAATCTGTAGGGTGTTCTTTGCTCCTTACTTCTGTTGCTACAGGTATGTGTTTTGCTGAAGTGTCACTCAAACGCCCACTCCTCCTGTGGAACAGGAACCACATCTGCAGGAACAGCCTTCTCCTTCCTCCACATGGCTGGAAACTTCAGCACTTCTTATGTGTATCCAGAGGTCACCACGGACGGTGTCTCACTGGCGCCACCTAGTGAGTGGAAGTATGAAGCACAGGCAATAAGGAGCACTGAGGGACTGTCGAAACCTTTGCTATCAGCTGGATTATATGGGCGCTGGTATGACAGAGATTGAACTGGAAGTACTAAAGTAACTTGTTTGTTGGTGTCTCACTGGCGCCACCTAGTGAGTGGAAGTATGAAGCGCAGGCAATAAGGAGCACAGAGGGACTGTCGAAACCTTTGCTATCTGCTGGATTATATGGGCACTGGTATGACAGAGATTGAACTGGAAGTGACTTGTTTGTTGGTGTCTCACTGGCGCCACCTAGTGAGTGGAAGTATGAAGCGCAGGCAATAAGGAGCACAGAGGGACTGTCGAAACCTTTGCTATCTGCTGGATTATATGGGCGCTGGTATGACAGAGATTGAACTGAAAATTCCTTATTACCTCCATGAAAAATGGAGATTCCTTATTACCTCCATGAAAAATGGAGGTATTGTTTTTGGCGTGTCTGTGTGTGTGTATGTATGTATGTGTGTGTGTGTGTTTGTGTGTGTGTTTCCGCACATTTGTAGTCAGCATAACTTCAGAGCGCCTTTATGGATTGTGATGATATTTGGTATGCTGCCATATTCAGGCCAAAGGTGCTACTGTGTGTTTGAAACCCAAAACCTGTGTTATTTTGTTCTGTACTGTAGTGTACTGTGTAAAAACATTTAGAAAAACTCATATATTTCATAGAGGTATGAGATCTCCGAATTCTTGTTTGTTGGAAGTTTTGATGTTGCATTCACAGTCATGGATTGACATGACTAATGAGTATTCTATGCAAATAATCAATTTGAATTAGAAAACATTTCAAACAGTTAAAGAATTGTTCCAACTTTTAAGCACCAGAATCTAAATGCATACTACTGCTTTGACATACTAAAGGCCACAGTTTTAGTCAATCTAGATATGAGTGTAACGTCTTTTATTCAGTGTTTTATTTTTGTATTACGCATGTGAATGTTGCATTCTGTTTTCAAATTTTAAGAACAAAAATTTGAAAAAAATGTTAGTGCAATCATCAACTCCACTAGAGGTGTATGTATACCAGTATTTATGTTCAAAATTTTATTATTATATAGCAGGTTGACCCATCAGAATTATTGACTTATAATCATTATATTATACATGTAACATTAGATCTATGCATCGCAGAAATTATGTGTGATCTGTAATAAATTATGAATTATTATACTATTAATGGATGAGGAGAAAGTAAAGATGCAACTCTTACATCTTCACCACTGTCTTGTAATTAAGTTGACATCTCGCCTGCATATTGTTGTAAATATTTTACAGCCTGTCATTGACTTTATGTTGTCATGAGGATCATAAAAAGATAATGGCCATGTAGACATTAAACTTAATCACATGAGAGACCTGTTATCACAAGGTTAATTTCTTTGGACAGAGATGCTGGATGTCTTTTTGGCGACGTCTCAGGGAGGAGCCTAATGGTACAGTATTGTGTGCAGTTTGCAAGAATTCTAGGAATGGTACAGGCATCTTGTCCACAGGAATGGAATGTCCACAGGCATTTCTCTGACCCACATCTATGCCCATATTCCTGGAACCATTGGGAAGACCTGTCTGCCCCAGATGGCCCTACTTTTGGTGACCCCGGGGCTTGTTCACTATACACTCAGGGGAGGAGTACACTGTATCTGTCTAGACTTAACAGATACCAAGTCTTCCTCAAAATCATGAAATGATGGCAGTGCCATGCAGACAATAACCCTAACAGCAACCACCGTCGCCATGTTTTCATTGCCAGTCTTGTATATTTGTGCTTTGTGTCAAATACTATATATTATGTTATAAGGCCACACCAATTTAATTTGTTGGTTCTCGGATTCGCCTCTTCATTTTTTTCTAATTTGAAAAAAAATCTGGTTTTGAATCTGCTCAAAAATGCTTATAGTTTGCCCCCAACCGTTGAGGAAAGTCCTTTTCTTCCTACTGTTACAGTTTTTGTATTTTTCTGTTCTGGACATATGGTGTGGACATAAGTTTTTTGTTCTCTTCCTGTTGTCATTACTGTAACCTAAATGGGATTGAAGACGAGAGTTATTTTATTGTTGACTGTACTCTATATACATGTAATAATGAGCGAAAGATTCTCTTCAATTGTATACAAGATTATTTTCCTGGTTTTAGATTTTTAGATAGAAAAGAAAAATTCACATTCCTCATGAAACTCGATAATCCTCGTACTATAAGCTCCATCTGTTCTTACATTTACAACTGTCTTAAGAAGCGAGAAGAAGCAGAACCTGTATAAATCTAGTTTTTTTTTACTATAGATATATTTTAGTCTTCCAACGCTATTTGCTGTGCCCTGTACTTAGTTCGCAATGAGCAAAAAGGTACAATAAGGCCACACCAATTTAATTTCTTGGTTAACGGATTTTTCTAGAAAAATAATGGAGCGGGCGAAAAAAAGAAAAGAAAATAAAAACAGGCCTAGGCATCCTATTATGGCCCAAAATAGTACGATAGGAGCCATGAAGTCAACACACCAGGCTGGTTCAAAATTTAAACAATGAATTTTGAACTTTTAATGATACCATTGTATGGTTGTGAAACCTGGCATATGAAAATCAGCCAAGAAAAGAGACTAGACACCTTTGACAGCAAATGCATCAGGAAGATCTTAGGCATTAGATGGGATGACTTTATACCGAACACGGATGTAAGAGCCAGAGCTAACCAACAACCAGTGTTTTCCATCATCTGCAAGCGACGCTTGAGCTGGCTAGGCCATGCTACGAGACTTCCATCAGATAGACTAGCAAAACAAGTCTTGAACTGGGTAAAAGGGTAAAAGACGCAGAGGTCGCCCCAAAATGAACTATAGACAAACAATTGAGAGGGACCTGCAAAACATAAATCTGAACTGGAAGGATGTAGGGAGACTGGCCGCTGACCGAACCTGCTGGACTGCTCTGATTGCCTCATGTGTCGGACGACACGGGAGCTCCTAAGTCTAAGTCTAAGTAATGATACCATTGCATTGAAATTTGGAATAACTGTAACAACTAGAAAGAAAAGGACTGTTTTCAACTGTTCAGGGCAAAATATGAGCATTTTGCAGTTGATTCTGAATTTTTATTTTTATTTGCAAATCAGAAAAAATGTGGCCTAAATGTAGTTTTTTTTACTATAGATATATTTTAGTCTACTGTCGCTATTTGCCGTGCCCTGTATTAGTTTGCAATGAGCAAAAATGTACAATAAAGGTCTTTCATTCATTGTGACTGCTGTCGTGTGGAATGCACGTTTATCATTACTGTATTGACCCAACAGTCTATACCTGCCCGGCTCAATAAGGGGTAATAAAACTGATAAGACTCACACACTGGTCTCCTGATGTCTGTATTGATTCCTATTGTGGTTTTATTACAGGATGTTCAGTGAAGCATGCAGACAGTCATGAGATGTTAATAGCTGTCATAAAACACTGTCATTCTCTATATTTCTGCACGGTGTTGGGAGATACATTTCTACAGTTATCCTATATATATATATATATACTGGTACAAAATAATTGACCCTTATTACCTCAATGAAAAATGGAGGTATTGTTTTTGGTGTGTCTGTCTGTGTGTGCGTTTGTGTTTCCGCACATTTGTAGTCAGCATAACTTCAGAACGCCTTTATGGATTGTGATGATATTTGGTATGTTGGTAGGTAATAGGAAGACAAAGGTCAAGATCAAATATGGGCCTCCTGGTGGCTGACCTTGGTACTGCAGCAGAACATCCGGTTTTTGTATCTTTACCCATCATTAGATATTCCCTGTGTGGGGTTTGGACTTGTAAATTTTAAAGAAATAAAGCTTGATAACATGTTCTTTTTTATTTTTCAAAGAAATCATTCGGAGTGCATTTTTTGCTATCAAAAGAAATAATTTGTTGTAGCACTTTGCCAATTTTACATTTTAGTGACAGAATGGGGAGGGGGGTCTCTTTCTTTTCTCTGCACTGTCTTTCTTCATTTGTGGGATAAGAATATAAGATATTAAATAAAACATAAAACTAAAAATGTTTTGTATCCTTTATTTTCTTAAAACTATTTGCTATAGAGCCCTACCAATACACTAAAACAACCTTAGCTAAGGCAAGAACGTTATATCAAGTCTTTAGCAAAAGTAGTGAGGAAATAATTTCAAAAGGTTGAAAAGGAGGAAAATCTAAACTTAGAGCTTATTTTCTTCCTATAACTTCATCATCTTTCGCTTACTAAGATTAAACACCTTCTACGGGAACTCTTTCTTCCGACACAGTTATGGTTTACTATGCAAGTAGATTATCTGTTCTATTATTTGAAGGTGTTCAGAACCAAGGACAGGTTTGTTTCACTTTACATGGAAGGCGTTCAGCACCAAGGACAGGTTTGTTTCACTTTACATGGAAGGCGTTCAGCACCAAGGACAGGTTTGTTTCACTTTACATGGAAGGTGTTCAGCACCAAGGACAGGTTTGTTTCACTTTACACGGAAGGCGTTCAGCACCAAGGACAGGTTTGTTTCACTTTACATGGAGGGTGTTCAGCACCAAGGACAGGTTTGTTTCACTTTACATGGAAGGCGTTCAGCACCAAGGACATGCTTGTTTCACTTTAAATGTAAGGCATTCAGTACCAAGGAAGAGCACATTTTCTTTTGTATCAAAATCCTGTCTTCGTGACTTAACAGTTCGGATATCTCTAAATCTATAACGATGCCGGTTATGACGTAATAATACCATGGCGACGGCGTTATACCGTCAAAAACAACAGCATTATATGATTACTGAGATCAATATTGCCATTGTACATCAGTTGAACACAAGTATTTTATTGTAGCAACCCTTTTGTTTCCAAGCTACACCACTGATTCAGATAGCACGCATGCTTTGTGCACTTTTTCATCCCAAATAAATTGTATTGACAGACGAAAGATCAACCTCAACGCTTTATTGTTCAGGCAAAAACTATTATGACAGTCAACGGCGACGTAGAGGGGTAATAAGGGCATGTAAGTGTCTACAACGATTTAGTGGAAAAGGAAAAGGTCCCATGGCCTTTTTGACTGGGTTGTTAAT